ATTTTCTGTTTCCATAGACATATAGATAGCTGTGGAATATGGTTCTCCTTTTCACAAAATTCTGTGCCAGCATGCTCCCCTAGGGCCCATGTTCTCCAGCCTTTGATGTCTTAGTTTATTTATTAATTTATTTTAGGTATGTATATGCGTATGTGTGTGGGTGCACATGCGCCTGAGTGAACGTGTGCATGTGTACATGAAGGCAGAAAGTTAATGTTGGGTGTGTCTCTCAATCGCTTCTCCACCTTATCTTTTGAGACAGGGTTTCCCACTGAACCTGGAGCTCACAGATTGGCCTGACAGCTGGCCAACAGAGCCCTGGTAATCCTCCTGTCTTCACCACCTCAGGTGTTGGATTATAGGCCTGAGGGTAACACCACACCTGGTTTTCTGTGTGGGTGCTGGGGATCTACCCTCAGGTCCTGCTCATACAGAAAGCATTTTGCCAGCTGAGCCATCTCCCTGAATCCTCATATTGGAGTTTAGTGTCATCTCCCAGCCTTTAGTATTCTAATTTAGTGGCAGCCATTGTGTTTATGTTCATAGTAAGAAGATCTAAGGCAATTTGGGCACTGGTTCAAGGCACAGGTCCTCTCCCTGAAGTCACTCATGAACTTGAACCACAATTCATAAACAGCAGTGTGAATGAGACAAGATAAGGCCAATGCTATGCCATGACTGTTCAGAGACCTTGTCAAATAGGAGTACCTCATTCCTCACTACATCATCTGGGATTATATGCAACTTACTTTTCTTTTCTTGATACAGGTATTACACCACAAAACCCTACGATTGTTAGGATCATGCATGCCCTCTGTTGCTAAGTCTGCAAGGCAGTTACAATTCATAAACAGCAGTGTGAATGAGACAAGATAAGGCCAATGCTATGCCATGACTGTTCAGAGACCTTGTCAAATAGGAGTACCTCATTCCTCACTACATCATCTGGGATTATATGCAACTTACTTTTCTTTTCTTGATACAGGTATTACACCGCAAAACCCTACGATTGTTAGGGTCATGCATGCCCTCTGTTGCTAAGTCTGCAAGGCAGTCTGCAGGGCATTTGCAGCCTTTATCTTACTCACATTATCTGAACAGTGGATGTAACTGATCAACCCTTTCTTTTTAAAGCACTGTCTTTGCTTGGCCTGAAGGGCACTGCCCTGTCCTCGTTTTTCTCATTCACTGACTGACCCTTTTCGTTTTCCTTTGCCGGTTCTTCCCTTTCTTCTCACTCTAACATTAGAGGCCAAAGGAAGATCAAAGCATGTGACAGAGCTGCAAAGATCTGGTCTAGGGACAAAAAAGGCAGGAGGAATACAAATATGACATTTGCAACTGTAGCGAACTTTAACCACAGCCCAACCACAAGGAACCCAACATTAAGCACAACACCATGGCCAGATTCATCATATCAGGCTTGCCGTATAAAACTGCAAGGTAAGGAAAACACAGCCCAAAGAAACAAAGTAAGAATCAGAGCTAGACTGATACGCAACAGATTATTAGAATTATGGGACAGAGAGTATAAATTAACTTTCTCCATTAGGGCTGCAAAGACAACATGAAGGAACACTGTAAATGAATAGATGAAACCTCTAAAAAGGATCAAAAAGAAGTGTTAGAAATTAGAAATGTTTCAATAGAAAGGAAGACTTTCACCAGGCTTGGTTAGTACCTGAACTTCAGTGAGGGAGGAAACCTAGTGCAGAAAACAAAGCATAAAGCCCTTAAAAGATGTGATCATAGAAATGCCTCAGACTGGAAAACAGAAAGAAATGATAAAAAATAGCAGAACACCCAAAAACTGCATGATGATTTCAAAGGTGAAAAATGCATGATTGTGATGTCAGGGGGAAAAGCAAGAGGACAGAGCAGGCTTGGCGTTTAAGGTAATAAATCTACAATAACAGTCATCAAACTACAGATTCAAGAAACTCAGAGAACAGCCACTAGAATGCAATTTTTAAAAGATACAATACATTTATCTCTCCTGGATGAGTTCAGTGGCACCCGCTGCACCTTGACTCCCCCAGCCTCATTCACCCTCCCAGCTCCCCACCCCATCTCTTCTCTTAGCCTGGGCACTGACCCATTTCTTGTCTTGGCGCCCCAGATCTCTGGGCTGACCTCTTGGCCCAGACTCCCCACTGCTTCCTGATCCTTTGCGTCTAGACCAACCCAATTCCTTCCTCTAGTCCCTGGGAGCCCTCAGAGCCTGTTCCCACTCCCACCTCCCTTTGCATCTCTGGGTGGCCCAGGGCC